CTCTGTCAACGGAGGGGGCTCTTTCAGTACTCTGGGGAAGTAAAAGAATTCCAAAAAGTGCCACACGCCACACTATGATAACTGATCAGTCTGTTTCTTGGCAATCACGGTGTATACTTGCGTACTATAAGACCTATGCTAAGCTACAGCAGAAATGTAAAATTATTATGACACAGGTTCTGTATTTTTTCTATTTCATTGCTCGTAATACAGGTCAAGTAAGGTATGGCACTTAACTAGAACTTTATTTTTTGGTATGACTGAACAAACTATTAAAAAATTAGAAAATTTTGTCGATTTTTGCGACATTTAAAAAAAAAATTGAAATTACATGTAAAATCTTATTTAGAAAATGAAAAACTACCACTTTATTGGTACTAACTATAAGGCCAGTAAAATTAAACCATANTTTTAAATAAATAGATACATGCATACTAGAAGTTAATTAAAATTTATTAAAAAGTTTACAAGATAGACGCACAATTACCTAACCAAAAAAAATTGAAATTTTAAACATTTTATTTTTTGAAATTATAACTCTGCAGGCACGTTATGCGCGAGAGTACATGAACAGTTTCAGAATTTAGACGTTAAGAAAATGTGTGATAAAAGCGAAATCCTTTTACATCACACATTTTTTCGCATGTTTCTCTCCCTTTACCCCGCTTTCCACGCCTTTTTTTTAATCTTAGCAATTAGTAAATTGTAGCAGAGCAGCTTTTTTGTGTATTAATGAATGTTTTTTAATTATTAAATTGTTACTTTAAGAATAAACAAATAATTGTATGTACAATTTATTTATTATATTATAAAATTTTTCAAAAATTTCTTTTGTATTCTATAAATACATCAATTGATTTGTATCCATTTCATTTTCTTACAATTTTTCCATTTCTGATTATTATTTGATTCAAGGGCAGTCCGAAGATGGTTAAAATTTCTTAGCTTAAAAATTAGATGTTGGATTGATAATATGTAATCTGATTTTTCACTTTTTACCTTGACTTCTCAATCAATTTTGCCAAGTGTGGGCTTGATTTGTTCTTTGATGTGTCAAGAATGTGCGTCTACTCTTATTTTTTATAAAATAGCTAGCTGCTCAATAAATAATGTAATAAAGCTATGCAATTCGATTAACTTTACCGATAAGGTAGGAAATTTTAACTATCTTCGGACTGCCCTTAAGGAAGTTCATCCCAGTTAGCGGGGAAAGAGTTTAGAGAGGTGAAAAGAGGGCGAACATATGCTGCAATGCTGAAAGTTATTTCTTTCATATGGATGTACATACACGATTACATACATGATTTTATGCATACTTGACCCATTCTTTCTTGTTTAAAAAAAAAAAAAAAAAAAAAAAAAAAAAAAAAAAAAAAAAAAACAGATCCAACCACCCATAATTTCTAAAGTGACTTTTTTAAAATTTATCTTAAATAACGAGCGACTTAGAAGTGGAGATTGCATGACAATATTACTTTTTTAATTTGTGTCATTAAAAAACACCTATTTTCAATATTTTTACACTTTCCGAGTGCCATTAAAATGTCTTGATTATAAAAAAATCATTAATTCCACAGCATTATCATAAAATTTAAATCCCGATAAGAAACAAAAAAAAAAAACTCTGAAAGAACCTGTTTTCATAATTGTTAAAAAAAGATGTACTGATATTAGCTGTTTAACTTCTAAATTTAGTTTATCTTTTTCTTAACGATGTTTCGACTGCTGTCATTCAGCTCTCTTCAAGCACAATTCTAAAATATTTCAAAATCACATGAGCTTACAACAATCATAGTAACGCAAGCTTAGAGGCATTCCCAAAATTAAATTTACGTATCTTAACACGAGGATACTTGCGTTGTACAGAAATTTTAGTAATACGTCATTTTGTCAAAACCTAATTTATAACAAAATTAGGAGACCGTTTAAAATGTTACCTATTTCTTACAGTTTAGCTGTAAACATTCGAAATTTAAACTAAGAACAAATTAATATATATTTAGTATGCAAATTACCTGTATGTTATTGAACCATAGGTACTTTCTCTTTTCAATTTTCAAGGCGTGTTACCAAAATTTAAAACATCAGGTTTAAGATAATAGCACCAAAATTTATCAAACTTTGTAACATACACGTTATATAATTAACTTATTCATGCATTCTTTGAGAACAGATTTTCAATTTTGTGTATCACAAATTTTGTTAACGGTATCATATTTTTTGATAAATATCATTTCATGTTTTAAAAGTAGTAGAATTCACAATGAACGATTTATTATCTAATGTTTAATAATAAATATTACAAACAAGTATAATGTAGTGCTATTAGTCGTCCTGTTAGTCTCATTCTCTTTAATATCGTCGTGTAGGATTTGAAAAATGTTAGTATAAATACGTGTCAGGTACATATTCTAGCATAGAATAAATTTGTAGATGATTGTAGGAAGTCATTCCCAAAAATTGTCAACAGTCTTGAAACATTTGAATAAATATGAAAAATATTTACGCTACAATAGAAGAACTAAATAAAAATTTGATTGATTTTTTAAATTTAACATTTAGTAGGAAGACTGATGGCGATATAATAAGAAGTTGGTACATAAAATTAATGCATTTTATTAGTTACCTGAATTTTAGTTCTCACAACCTTATATTATAAGAAATTACTATACTTTACAGTTTCAATTGATAGGGAATAATTTCTTCAATTGCATCCATCTTAGTACAAATTTAAATTATTTATGAAAATAATGTATTAAAAAGATATAACTATGTGAGTGGACTTCTACAAAATATGTAAGTTAGACTTTGTATTATTAAAAACATATATTTTGTTTAAAAAACATCTAATAATTACAAAAAAGTTACAATAATTTTACAGTTTTACTGTACATTAAACAATGTGAATACAGTTTCAAATCTATCATAAAAAATCGAAAGTAAAAATTATCTTGAACCGCAAAAAAACTTGAACAGTCTTAATAATAATGGAAAAGACGGAATAAATAAATTAGAGAAATCTAATGTAGTTTACAAAATAATATGCTAGTGCAGTATATGATATGTATAACAGTGCAGTGAATTATAATATAATTTAATGCAAAGACATCTCAACATTACATGACTATGTCTTTAGTGGTGACCACATACATAAGTTTGAGAAAGAGTCAATAAAAATACTTGATAAGGAATCTAACTTTAATAATATGACGCATTGTTAAGATTTTTGTACAATATAAGTATTTTCGGGCTTAGAAAAATAAATTTAACTTAGAAAATGCCTCCAAGCTTGCGTTAATATGATTGTTGTGAACTTATGTAATTCTGTAACATTTTAGAATTGTGCTTGGAAATAGCTGAACGACATAGTAGCCGAAACGTTGTTAAAAAAAGAAAAAAATGAACTAAAACTTTGATCAGCTAAAACCAGAAAACCTTTCATTTTAATGATTGTAATAATACTGCTGTTCCTGGAATCATAAATAGGCCATCGTTTTTTTTCATTGCCGAAAAAGGTCTTATAGCATTAAAAATAAAAATAAAAATTCACGATGTAATAGAATTTTTTTTAAACAAATTATCATTATTTAATAAAATTTTTTTTTTCTATATTCACGATAAGACAATAATGCTTTGACAGTTTCGAATACGTAAGAGCTTTTCATTGAAATACAGATGAATTAAAATTACAGATTAGTTCCAAAAACTTTCGGAACTTATTTATTATTATTTGATTAAATAAGTGATCGAAGTAAGTCACACTGATTTCAAATTAACCGGATTATAATCATTCACACATTATATGAGTCTGACACTTGAAATTAATATACAAATAGTAAAAAATTACAAAAAACTCAGTTCTCTGCGATACTTACACGTTATAACGTCATTTAGAAATCGTTCTCACTTCCTAAACGAGATTAACTGAAAGACGATGTTACTAACCCATGAAAAAATGAGTTGCAACATGCCAAATTCTGTGCGTCATTTAATCTACGTTTTTTTTCAAGTTTAGTGTCCCACGTATGTACCCATAAATTTCGAGCAAATTGGATAGTTTAAGCGCGAGAAAAAAAATTGTGACAAGTACAGTATTCGGAATCGAATTCGGAAAATAACGGAATTTTGGGATCTTCGAGGTTTTCTATTTATTTCATTTCTGAATAAAAGCTTTCAAAAAAAATAATAGGAGCGTTTGAACTCATCTTCCGAATTTACTCGTACAGTTTTGATTAATTACTTCGTTACTTGCAAGAGACATGATTGATAAGTTTTATGCTCTTTATATGGAATAATAAATTGTCAACCAATTTTTTATCATTAACAAAGTTATTTATTTACTTCTTTGTATAGCAAAATGTTTATAGCTTAACTAGGTCACATTCCAACTAACAATTTTTTTCAAAATACAGTATCATAAAAAATGGTCAAACTAGGTATCCTACAACGATAGAAGAATAAAAATATTTTTTCGTCTTTAGTATTCAAATATGTTTTTGAGTGGTATAGCAATAGTAAGTATATAAAGCAGCTGTAATGGTACAGATTTAGTAAGTTTCTGCTATGACGAAGAAAAATTCTTCATGAATCAAAGCTACTGTTAGATTCGAAAAAAATTGTCAAGAATTTATGAAAATACTTTTACAAAATCTCATTTAGTTTAAAAAGCCTAAATTATTCATAGAACAAATTTTTAAAATTCATAAAATTTTTGTTAATGACAAGAGAATTTTGTTAATAACATTCCTTAAATACAGTTTTATTAGAAAGATTATATGTTCATGTTTTCTTAGCTTACTTTATTCTATAGTAAAACTGCACTAGTTATTTCTTATTTTCAATTTTTCAATTTTATCGTGTTACAATCCTGATAAAGTATAAATTAAGAATGTAAGCAAAGAAAATTCCAAGCCATAGTTATAAGTAATTGTTTTTATTAAAAACTGAAAAGTTGAATTAAATGTTATTCTTTTAGAATTATAGACAAGTTGAATGCATACATGTACAGCTTCCTTGGGTAAAGGCCGTTATCGTAGCTGGAAATCTCCCAAGAGCTATAAACAAGTGAAAAAACATTATGAGTTAAATAGCAAAAAACGTTACTTACAAATTCATGTTGATTTTTCATCCAGTTTCTTTTATGTCAGCATTTCTTAGATCTGTAGATAATAGTTTATTACTCAAAATTTTGAAATGCTCAGCACTGTGCAGAAAAAAAATACGTTTGTATCTCGTACAAGCTGAAAGAAAATTCTGTTATTCAAAGCTAATAACGTGCCAGACACAGCAAATTTTATTTTGTGTTGCATCCATAGAAACATTAGAAGTTAATTGTATCTTCACTGTAGGCTGTTATCATTATTCAAACGAATATTTCATAGTATTAAAGTAGAAGTAATAGAAAAATAAAAGATCTTTAAATAGTTAGCATAATGTTTAAAATATGACCCAAGCAACCAATTTTGACCCACGTTACATGAAGTGTGAAGTAGCCCTATCACATTGGAATACATCTCTGACTTATCAACACTTAGGAATTGTCCGATTTATTCATGCAAATTAACACTGAAATTCGCTTGGAATTACAGAAAATCTATATGTCATATGGGAAAAAATTACCAAAAGGTCCAAATTAATTGATTCTTACAAACATGCCATAAATTTAACATAACTTGTTTTAGAAAGAACTTTTTATTAAGACATAAAAGAGAGATTTGCTTCATAATCTTGAAAAGCCCTATGTAAGCATGTGAGAGGTGAGAGCAAGTAATAGTACGTCATTATCTGTGCTGTACTAGATAATTGTACGAGAGACAGAGAAAGTGACAGAGCAAAGTTTAGTAGTCAGAATAAAAATTGTATTTTTACGCGCGCGCATGTGTGTATATGTGATAGCTGGAATTGTTAATGTCCAAAAAGCCTTTTTACTGATTTGAATATTCCAGGGTTTAAGTTTTTTTTTAACCTTGTAGCACCTCAGAAAGAAATTTGTTACATTCTTTCAAATGGATGTTATTATGATTTTTTGATTTCCAAAAACAGTTATATTGCACGATTAGGATAAAAATATTTGGATTTCATGCAACATAAAAATAGTTTTTTCTTTTCTTTCAATCAAACCAATACATAATTTACCTGTTTTTAATTAACTTTAATACATTATTAACGTTGTTATTGCAATTTTTTTTTATTTAAAACGATGGCTTTAATAAGGTTAGTTTAAACAGTATCTAAATTATAATTGTATCGTCAGGCCCTAGTTTTCGAACAACTTCTCCAAGGCATGAAAGTTAACAGTAAAGTCTCAAAAGTTTTTCAATTGCTCATCAATATCTACAAGAAACATACTTCGTGTGCAGCGTGTATTTATTTTCGTTATCTTTTTGATGTAAAAGATCTTATGTCGGGCAGTGAACAGCCGCGTAAGGGAAAATATGCAACGGAAAGTCCGATCCGCTTCTCCGTTGCTATTTACCTCACCACTGGGCACTACTTTTCTATCTCTATACAATTATGTACACGCGGTGAAACTTGTTTATCTATATATACTCATATACAGTAACTATAAGTATATTGTCGTGTATGTTAAGCTTTTTTTGTATTTAAGTGTACTAACCCTATATATAGCTATTTAAAAGTATATATATATATAATTAAACAACGTGATTTTTTTGAATTACTAAACTTTGTTTCTTACCATAAAAAATGCACTTCAGCGTTATCGCCTGCAAGTTATTTAATTTAATTAAATGTTAGAACATAATTTTACTTAACACATTAACAGTTGTATTGTTTGTATAAAATCTACAAAACATATACGCAGTTATCAATGAAAAAATGTGCACTCCACTGTAATAACAAAGTATGTACCACTGTGACAAGCTTGTCACTGTGTTCGTGCTGAAACACAAAATTGTGAATACTACTCATGTTCAAAAAGTTATTTTATTAAAATCTTTATAGTTCAAATTATTTAATTTAAAAAAATAAACATACTCATGAAAAGCTGTTACAGTTTCTCACTAAAAATACTCAGTAAATAAACGTGCATAGTGAGAGTTGATTGAAATTCATAAATGAAAAGGGCACATGGTCGATAATTATCCAAAAAAGCGGAAAACTAACGAAACTTTGAACATTTTTTTTTAAGGAAAGTTATAGTGTTTAACAAATTTCACTTCTAAAAGTTTTTTTTTTCAAACATATTAAAAAATTTACTATTTTTTTTTTTCAATGAAACCTATAAATCCAATGTTTTCAGAATTTTTCAATAACACAGAAATTTATAAATATCGTATTTGCACAAAAACGTTTTTGTTATGAAAAAAAAAAAAAAAAACAAAAACAAAAACAAATTCACAACTTATATTTCGTTCGATTGCAATAAAAAAATTGTACTAGCCTTGTTTATTGAAACTTAAAAAAGTTATTGAAAACGCTATTGATAAAGACTAATAGTTAATAACAGTGTTAATCAAATTTTGCAGTCAAAATTAGCACACGTGTTGGTGCCATTTAATTATAGAAGGTTGTAAGGACACAATTCTTTTTTAGAAATTTAAAAATATTGTTTTATTTACTAGATTTGTTAAAATGGTTGAGTTAATAATTATCTACATAACTATTGTGTGCAATGTCATTATGTAATGATAAATTAATCGAAAGATGTAATAATAAGTATTATGTAAAAATTACAGTAAAAAGATATGAAAAACTATACAACTTCAAAGTTATCTTCTAAGTTATTTTTTATTTTCAGACTGTATTTCTTACATTAGGACAGGAACAACTATTTTTGTCAACGATATTGTAAGCTATTAGAAATGAGCAATAAAATTTTTGAAAGCTTACTACAAAAAATGACTAATGAGTCAAAAAAACTTTTTTACACATTCAAAACGATAATTATTTAATTTATCTCCAAAATCTTTGTCAATTAGGTTATTTTCTCCTCATTAAAACAAGTTTGTTGGAAATAAAAGGGTTATGTCTTGCAATTAGCTAAATTTGAGAATCCAACAGTGTGTTAAAGTGACATTTAATGAATTTAAAAAAGTTACAAAAAGTAACCTGCAAAAGGGTAAAATTCCACTGATATAAAAATATTGAAATATATCAAGGAAACCTTGAAAAGTGTCCTCCTCTACTTCCCTTGAAATTTTCGCATAATGTGGAGATTTGAAAACTTGAAAAATAAAACAATTTTCACTACACTAGTAACATACAGTGATTTCGGCAGAAAAGAGATGTATTCTCTATTTTTCAGGGATCAAGACCCTTTTTTTTTATTATACTTATGTTTGATACTTACATTAAACTAAAATTTATTATTAAGTGTCTGAGCGAACAGTGCATATTATAAAGGCACCATACGTTTATGAAAAATAATAATAAAAGATAATAAAACCTTCTATTATTTAATGTCACCAATACGTATTCTAATTTTGACTGCAAAATTTGATTAATACCGTTATTAACTATTAATCTTTATCAATAGCGTTTTTAATAACTTTTTTAAGTTTCAATAAACAAGGCTAAAACAATTTTTTTATTACAATCGAACGAAATATAAGTTGTAAATTTGTTTGTTTGTTTGTTTGTTTGTTTTTCCTTTTTTTATAACAAAAACGTTTTTGTGCAAATGCAATATTTGTAAATTTCTGTGTTATTGAAAAATTCTGAAAACATTGGATTTATAGGTTTCATTGAAAAAAAAAAAATAGTAAATTTTTTAATATGTTTGAAAAAAAAAACTTTTAGAAGTGAAATTTGTTAAACACTATAACTTTCCTTAAAAAAAAATGTTCAAAGTTTCGTTAGTTTTCCGCTTTTTTGGATAATTATCGACCATGTGCCCTTTTCATTTATGAATTTCAATCAACTCTCACTATGCACGTTTATTTACTAAGTAATTTTAATGAGAAACTGTAACAGCTTTTCATGAGTATGTTTATTTTTTTAAATTAAATAATTTGAACTATAAAGATTTTAATAAAATAACTTTTTGAACATGAGTAGTATTCACAATTTTGTGTTTCAGCAAGCGGAAGCTTGTCACAGCGGTACATACTTTGTTATCACAGTAAAGTACACATTTTTTCATTGAAGACGAATATTCTGAAATTTTAGTTGATATTAGCATTGTGTACTTTTCAATGAAACCACATAGTCTTACTACGGATATGTTTCGTAGATTTTATATAAACAATACAATTGTTAATGTGTTAAGTAAAATTATGTTCTAATATATAGTTTGATTAAATAACTTGCAGGAGATAACGCTGAAGTGCATTTTTTTATGGAAAGAAACAAAGTTTAGTAATTCACGAAAATCAAGAAAATCACTATTTTGGTCACACGTTTTAATCAGAAATGATTAAAACGTGTCAAGAAAATCACTATTTTGGTCACACGTTTTAATCAGAAATGATTCTAATTTCGAGATGTATTTTAAATAAATAGATACATGCATACTAGAAGTTAATTAAAATTTATTAAAAAGTTTACAAGATAGACGCACAATTACCTAACCAAAAAAAATTGAAATTACATGTAAAATCTTATTTAGAAAATGAAAAACTACCACTTTATTGGTACTAACTATAAGGCCAGTAAAATTAAACCATAGGGAGCAATTTTTTCTCCTACTTAGGCATGCGCATAAAAATGGTCTCCCTTATACGTTTGTAGGTCAGAAAACTCGACCTTAAGTTAGTCTCATTTTTAAAGTAAAAAGCAATAGCAAACAACTGTATGGTAAAAAAAAATCGCTTTACACAACATACTTTGATTTTAAGTACTAAGCTTTATACACCACGTATGTAATAGAAATACGGTAAATTTGAGACCGGTTGCATATAGGTAGTATGATCAAATATTTATTTAATCAATAAGAAACTAGTGTGGCAATTTTGTAAATTATAATTTATTTTCCACTGACGAGAAATGTATTTTTGCTAATTCTACTATACTATGACATTTTTTAGGGAGTAGTATTTGTTTATTAAGGAAAAATTCAATGTATAAATTTCTTTTCTTTTTTTTTCTCAATATT